AAAACAAGTACTTTTAAATCGAAAAAGGTAGTTTGTATGTGATAAAAGAGTGATTAGAAGATTAATTAGGTCACAGAAAAAATACAATGGAAATAAATTGTAAAGAGTAATGTTCTATGTCGCATTTAATTTACAGAGCACATTAAATCACACATTGAGCATATTTAAAGAAATACATTGTAATTTAAAATATGTCGTAAAAATAATTAGCTACAAATAAGCACTTAAATTTAAGACAAATATATAAATTATCTTTACATCATACTGTCGGTAAGGATTTAAGATATACCATGTAACGGTACGTGGAGCCACTTGCTATACGAATAAATAGATCAAAGCACTGATAATGTCGGTATATTAGGAATTAAATTTAAAGAGTACACATTAATAGAAACAATTTAACTGCCACGAATAAATCTAAAAAAAAATACAACACATTTAAAATATCCTGTAACGCAAATATTTTTATGGTGTTATATCATAAATCTGATGCTCAAATGAAGATTTATCAATGTTGTAAGTTTCAAAAATCATTATTTCTAAACATATCACCGATTTTAACATTACTTGTACATAAAGGGAGGTAATTAGAAATTTATTTTCGATAAAGTCTAAACCAGTTTTTTATTCAATAAAAAATGAATGCATTAATATTTAATTTAAACGTTTAATCATAATGTAAATAAACATTGGCTGTACATATATAACATGTTCTTAACGGCATTTTACATCCTTAATTACAGTATAAAGGATCTTATGAAACGACAACAACAAAAACAGCAAAAAAATATATAATTCCATTTTATATAGTCTTGCTGAATATTTTCTCGTTAAGGACACAGGCATTCTTTTATAAAGGGACCCAACCTTACGCCACTTTTTATGGAATGGCACGTATGAAAACATATGCAGATATTTATGAATTCGAATTTTTCCAATTCGTGTTTGAATGTTGAATTATGCTTAATTCGCTTCTTGGGCGATTGGGGATCATGGGCGTTGTCTTGTATTTACCAATATCGATCAGGAACAAGCACAGCCAAACCGAGCCTGCAACAGTTTAGATATTGATGTTTGGAGTTCCGTTTTCATCTATTTAAAAAGGAACAATACATAATTAAAGATATTCAAACGCAAACAACATTCTCAAAGCAAGTAGCATATATAGAGAGATTTATGTTTTCGAATTGACCTCCTTGCAGTAATTTTGCCCTTTAACGCCCAAAGAGATTACATTTGTAGCACTGCCCTTTTTCTTCGCCGTCCATATCTCAGATCGGAAATCTCTCATCTGGCTCAGCTGTTTAACGATTTCCTATTGTTTTTTTTTCATCCTTTGTTTGGCCATTTGTTTGGTCCTGAAAGTTATCGTGCCTCCCATATCCTAATTACACTGATTCGATTCATCATTGGAACCACATACCAACTATTTCCTTCAAATCCTGGCTTTCATAATTCATCCGTATGATTACTTTTGTTGTAACAATCATTAAAAAAGGGACATGTGTCAACAGGGACTTTCTGCAGTTGATATTGGTGTGCTTGGAAAATGATTCAATGATTCCGGGATAATGTAAATCCTTATTTTCCAGCAAGACCTTTTTGCATCCTCCTTAATTTGAAGAATAAAACATTATACCATTTTCAAAGACATTTTATGATTTATTTTGAATAATGATTATTGATCATATATCAAGTCTTTATTCTCAAATTCACATTGATCATTTGGTTTGCAGTTCCCAAGAATGAGTATCCTAATATTCTGTAAGCTTGAACTAGGTTTACATTCCGAAGCAGCCGACATCCATTTCGTATGGCATTGGACTCTGTTGTGGTGGCTTGTTAGTATATCATAAACATTTTGTCGGAGGCAAGTATATCCCTGATAGGTTATCATTATATAGATCTGGTTGTTCCTTGTTCATGTTTCGTGCAGACAATTGTTCATTTGTTCCCATGATAAGAAATACTAAGTATGTAACGGCCTTTTGTATTTTTTAATTCTGTCAAACTTGTGCTAAGCTGGCTGCATATTCTGATACATAATACTGCCTCAAGGTAACCCCCAATATCTTCGTGTGGAAAAGACCGATACACATAATAAAGGTCTTGTCTTTCAAGAAGTCGTGTAATACTCTAAATCCAAATGAGTATTATTTGCTTCGATCAGAGAATGATTTTTATCCAGATATGCATGTGTTGCATTTTCTTCAAAGAGTTTACTTAACAGTACTCTTTGAGCTATTCCAAACTACTCTTTGGTACAAGTGCAGATAGGACAGGTCTGTCATGCGTATTTATTTCAAGTTGACTCATACAGCTCATTCCTCATCTTTCTATTTGCCATTTAAAGCCAGGCTTTTCATATTCATTTCACCATCTTTTCAGTTGTTTCATTCTCTGGTAACGAGTTAGTGTAAGGCACTTACTCTCTTCATCACAGGTTAGTAATCTCAGAGAGGATTACGTTCATCTTTTGTTCCGTGACACCCTTGTATGATCTGGTAAACCAACTAAATCAACCGTTGACGAGGGGCCCAAAATATTCGTTATGATATTTTTGACAAGGTTTCTCCTACGTCTCACCAATTCGAACATGTGCACTGCCGCTTATTGTTAATAAGTTTTACCCATTTCAAGTTTTAGACCTATGAAGTAGTAATCTTATTAGATTCATGCTTTTACCTCATTTTCATCATGTCACTGAACATTCTCAAGTCATTCAATATTTATTTAATAATGTATAATTATCTTCATTTGATTTATCTGTCTAAACATATCGTATTACCTGAAGACTCTAGGGATGTTGATCATATCCTGAGACTATTGTTATAAAAGTTTTTCCTCACACCATGATGCAAACTGGGCTGCCGACCCATGCTGTACCATTCTGAGTGTTTCCTGGTGTACGGTTGAGAGCGTCAAAGATCAGTATTTTGTCGTTTAAGATCGTCGCTTTTACATGGACTATTGCTTCCATTGACATATTCACAGAATGTATATTTCTATGGATGCTGTTTGGAAAATCTTTTTTGAACCTGGAAAAGTTTATTTTGAGTTGGGAATGGTCAGTTTGTCTTGAAGTAAACTGTGATTGCTAATTGCTATGAAGTTGAAAATGTATATGTATATATAAGTGTCACCCCTAGGACAGAATAAGTGACACAAATTGTGCCTACTGTACATAAATTATTGTGCCTTACGATAGATTTAAAAATTATATTTTATTATCTTATATACCACCCGCGCATTTTATGTTGACAAGACTTTAGCTGCATCGTACCTTTTTGGAAAAGTTCATGGTAGAGATAAGATAAAATCTTATTATTAAAAAGAATGTATTCTGCATGCCAATTTAAATGTGTGAAGAAATATCCTAGATGGTTAAGCATCACCTCTGAGAACAAGACGGCTGTTTTAGATGGTCATTAGACTTAAATCTTGAGTTGCCGCACATCGCATTTAGGACAAGCGGTTCGCGTGAGAATAATCAATATGCAATGGTTAGAAGAATGATTTCCGGAAAGAGTAGATAGAAGAAAATTGTCGAGTTTGTTCATGAGAGATTATAGAAAGTGCATCATCTCTCATATCCCCTAGCTTCAACTTAAAAATATATCAAACTTTGAGATGAATCACTGGGATATCTATATTTCCACCTAACACTTGCTGCTGTAAACGTTAAAAGAAAAAGGTTGGTTATTCTATATGTCTTATAGAAGAACATGTTACAGATTAGGTTATGACATCCACACAAGAAGAACGGAAACAACCGACCAAACATCCCTTAAAAGACGAAACTTGAACTCCGCCTTTCCTTTCATATTTTACCTAACTTTATTTCTGATGGCAACCACATAATAACAGGAGACATTTCTTGTTCCTTATACTACAAAACTATATAGATGCATGTAAGCTCCTGTAGATATTGCTTAGTGTAACCATTAAAATTTCTTCACACATAAAGCATGTGATACCGTCAAAATGTCCACAAAAACTTAAGGAATGCATCGGACGGCTTTGGATGAGAATAATTTCATTACAAACAAACTTCTCAAACAGGCCTACTGCTATTATAAATTACGGAAATATGTTACCAAATTTTATAATCGTGATTTTGGTTTAATTTATTTGAAAAGTCTTCTCTTCTGGTATTACAAACCTGATTTCTATGGAGATTCGAGTTATCAACTTTTTAAGATATTCGGTAATGGAAATTTTTCAGGAGCCTTTTCTAAAATAATTAAACGTTTTACAAAAAAGACGTTATGACCCTACTATTTCAAGACATCGGGCGTGCTTAGCGTTCAACCCTTTAACAGTTGAGTACTACGCTTTGCTCTGATAATTACATCTGACGGACCCAGTGGAAGACTATATGATAAACAGTTTTTTTTTCAATTTGGACTGAATTGTCCTAATTTTCGTCTTCTATCTTGCTTCGTTGGACCCTCGTAGGCATTGTTTTTGCAGCACGTCTTTTTAAGACATTGAGTTCTTATGTTATAGTCATTTGGCTGACATTTTATATGTGAATACATGAGTATTTCTGTGTTTAACTTATTTAACCTTTTGTAACCATAACAACTGTTTGACTTTGTCGGGGATTTATTCTATTTATACGGTCTCGATTTAAAGGAATTATGATATTAGGTATTTTTTATTTGATGAGTTTTGTTTCAAATACTTACACATGCATTCGATAGAATACTTTTGTACACAGGTTGATATTCGATACGAAACTGACACATTATCAGAAATGGAAAGAACTACAATGAAATAAAGTGTATTGATCAATATTGTTTCTGGATACATTCAGACTTTATTTCCATGAATACACATACAATGTAATTTATTCATGTATTTGTAGAATTTAAAGTAACAACAGCAAATACTTTAAAAACAGTTGGTTATGTTTGATATTTTACTTGTATTACATGTAGTTTTTATTTTCAAATGCATTTTTTGAGGTCAATTAAAGAGCAACAAACAGTGTAACAATGGCAATAGCAGGACCTGATAAAAACTATCGGACATGGCCAGTTAACGACAAGTTCAAAGTGTCTGTAAACAAGTATAATCCAGATTATACAAAAGCTGAAGTAGAGTTTCAATGCTTTGTTACAACAAAAGATAATGTTGGTAATTATGATTTTATTACATATTCCCCGTTTTGACCAAGGTAACATGAATAAGGACAAAACAGGTCACATCATTGGCAAAAGGCTCTGAGACCTGTTATAAATCTGACATTCCATTACATAAGCGGAAGAAGTTGTCTAGCTAACATGGGGTTAATTTCTTAAATACAAACAAACTGGATTTTAATATATTTTTAACTGTCTTACATGGTGATTTAGTTGTTACACTAATTATACAATGACATTTAGTATGTTTACTTAACATGCAGGGGTTTCCTTGATTTGCTTGTAATGTAAACATTTGAATAGTTGATTTTATTTTTTACAGGAATCAAAACAGAGGTTCGGTCAGAAAAGACAATTGTGCATTTTCCTGTTCCGCAAGACAATGACTCACATTATAGAAGCAAATTAAAAGAAGCGTTCAGAAAATTTATGTTAGACTTTGTTACAAAAGATAAAAGTTATGTGTTGATATCACTTGATGATATAAAATGTTTAACAAAGAGAGAATTTTGTGAAGTTATCCTAGAAGAATTCACTAAGTTGGCTGAAAACCAAAAAGCAAAACTGAATCATCCTGTAAAGTTAGAATTTTGTACCATGATGGACCGCAACTTTGGAGAAGCTGTCAAAGCATGTGAAGCTAAAATTAAAGAATTCAAGAGTGAACCAGGTAATGAATGTAAAAGTATAATTTTTAATATCTAATCTTATTTACTAGATGCCATGGTTTATAAGTTACTAATTGGTAAAAGGCTTATAAGATGTATTTTTACACATTCTATGTACTTTAAGCGAAATAAAGAGCCTTGTAATTACTTCATTAACATCATATGCTTATATGACATTACATGTACATTTGTCTATGAATTATATATGCAGATTTCAATCTTACTTAGTACAGATCGTTTGATGTTTTATATGTAGATCTAAGCGTCGTCAACTCTGATTCGCCTCCTAACACGGTTCAGTTCTTATATTTGGATAGATATAATCATGTTAATTAAGTAATGTGGCCTTTGCCCATTCCATCACTTCTACTATACTAGTGATGTCTTTCAGGGATCCTTATAAGGCCCGTTTTATTTCTAATTTTTGACGTCATGCATTTAGACATAAACAGTAAGCTTCTGCTCAATGCTGATGTTTCTTGTATCTGGCGAAAATAAATTTGAAAATAGATTGGAACTATATATATATATAATCTTAATGTGGACATGAAATGAATTTTAAGGATAGTTCTAAAATAAAATATATAGAATAGTTCTTTAAATTTCTAGTTAAATCCTTGAGAAACTTAAGTTTTGTTTAAACATGCTTGCTTCTACAAAACATTTTATAACACGTTCATGATCCTGTAAGTTTACTCATGCACATCAAAATAACGAAACGCACAAGTACCCTCAGTTTATGATGTTTAATAAGTGTTCAATATATCATATGATCATTTATGTGTTCATTGGTATATATATTATTGCACAATAATCAAGTATTTATAGATAAAATTGTCTACCGAGTGCGTAGATGTTGGTGTTAGAAATGTTGAAATTTATTTCATTTAACGAAACACAACATATTCAATTAGGAACACACAAATCTTAATGTTACATTTTTCACGATAAATAACCCATTGTTTATTCTGTCAAATAAATATGTATAAAAATTTGAAATAAGGTGAACATATTTCTTGTAAGCAGGTTACTTTGCATGACTAATCACTTCACAATTCTATATATTGTAGTTTATCATATTTTCTGTGATAATTGTCATCAAAATAGCGGTATTGTCATCGCCTCTCTATGTCATGCCCCACCACTCAGGGACTATAAGTGTAAAAATGGTTTACCCTTTTTTGTTAGTATGCTGGCGATGGGAATTGTGCTATTGTTTTTTTCACTGCATGTTCATATATTACCATGGACGTACATTGTCCCAAAATCAGTCTCATTGTTACATGTATTTTTCAATTTGAACGTGAAATTAACTACATGATTTTACGTTTTCAAGCGGTTAAAACACAAGAACACGAAAGATGGCCATTTACTGACTGAGTAACGAGGAGAACTCGTACTAGGGTTTGTCAGATCGTAAAGCGCAGCGTTATTAGGATTCTGATTTTATATACAACACAACTTTCTAAATTGCCATGAAATTTACATACATCAATACATCAAAACTATTTTGGTTTAAGAAAGAATTTCAATGAAGCACTATTATAATTTAGTCCGATCTATTTTAATGTTAATCTAATTTGTTAATTACAGTTGTACAGAAAAACAGAATATTACTTGGTCCATCAATTTGTATTGTGAAGGACAGTATTGCAAATGTTAAGGTAGTGTATGATTTACATTTCCTTATTCTGCCGTTGAAATGTTATTTTGTCTGAAGTGATCCTTCCGTTTTCAAATATTTTGATACATTTACATGTAATGTAGTTATTCTGTACCTTTCAATACTTACATAATTATCACCATAATTATCATCATAAGTGTATATAAATACAATTATAACAACATAATTGTTTACTTGATTTTACGAATCAAAATAAATCTAATTCACACAACATGACATCAACTGTTAATAATAACAGCTCCTTCCATAGGCCAAAATAAACAGCATTCCATAAGAAACGACGCCGCTCACCGGCGTCGCCAATAAAAATATTTCATCGATTTTTTAAAAGTGCATAATAAACAAATATTTCACCGAATTTTTTAAAAGTATATATTATGACAAATATTTCACCGAATTTTTAAGTGTATGATAAAGACATATTTTACCAAATAAGTGCAAAACATATTTCGTGAGTACCGTACTGCAATATCTCTGTAAACAAGAATACGAGTATATATTCGTCTTGCACTAAAATATGTTTTGTATATTTCTTGTTGCGTGAACAAAATTATTCCAGGGCGTTTATTAGATTTACAAGCTATTAGTCTGAAAATATCTTTTATGGTTAATAGCGAAACACGTTCTTTCAACTTATATTATTCACTTTATTCCTGGAACTAACCAGTACTGGTGTCGAATAAGGAATAGTCGTGGCCCAAGTTGGGCTCGAACCCACAATCCTGGGATTGAAAGGCAAATATGTTAGACATTAGCCACCAGTACCCCTCATCATTGTATCATCCATATTTTTTTCATCAGGAAAAATCACATTTTGTTAGTGCTTTAATGACACATATGCTGCAAACATCGTAAAAAGCAAACGTATAATGCATGTTAAAATATGTCAAACAGTTTGTTTGAAACAACTTAAACGCGTAAAATCGTCATTTTGAAAATGACCATGGTGGTTTTCGGCATAACATAATGTTTAAGGAGCAAGTAAGAACGCCATTCATACTATCTCCTCTAGTGCGCACCACTGTAAAATTAAACATCTGGTTTGCGTCATGATAAAAAAAAGATTTATGAAAATGTTCAAAGGTCGTTTTCTAATGATTAAAAAAGTTTTGACTTTGCTTATATCTAAGTAACGGTGTAAAAATTATTTAGTGGTATAACGTCATTAAATTTTGTAAAGTGCATGTCAAATCACGCTTTGTATGCGTAAGATAAACTTACAAGTTTCATGACCATGCCCCTTGTTCAAATACTGTTGATGCTACACGGGACACAAGTTGGCAATTTTCGATTTTACTAAGTCAATGGCAATAACTCTGGCATGACTGCTCTAACCGACAAACGAAATACCAGGTGCAAAAACCATAATGCTGACCAACTTTCATGTAAAATTTCATGACCCTAACTACTAAACTATTTATGGAACAACACTAAAGATTCCGGTAGGAACAGACGTACGTACTCAGGCACAGGCGCACGGACAAGTAAAAAAGTTTAAATCCCGAAATGGTGCATAAAAAGTCGATATTTCAACTTCAAGCCAATAAATGTTAATGTCCAAAAAGTAATTAGCACATACTTTCGACTGTCACTGTTTTCACACAGTAGTAATCTTACTGGTAAAGGCGGCGTGGACATAAATATATTGCTGATTTATGACGATGTATCATTGATGATATGATATACATTGTATTATTAACGGTGATGAAGTAGGTTAAAACGATGATGATAATTTTAATAACCTGTGTAAAATGAGTGACATATGCGGTAAGGCATTTACTACCAAATTGTATATGGCACATAAAGCACGCGTGTGACATAAACGTTCCGTGACATATACGGTCAGACATACCGTACCGCGACTCTACCGACTAAGCGATGCTGCCGCTTACACACTATCTGCCCTAAGAAGTGAACAGTTTTGAACCTAATGTGGTCTTATAACTGACTTTTTATATTTATATTGTATCTCAGGTGAGCGATTCGGGTCCATCATGACCCTCTTGTTTATTTAAAAGTTTAGCAAATAATCTTTTCCAAATGAATAGTAAGAAGTACATACTATTACTATGATTACAGAGTTGTCTTTTGATATGGACTTTGCTTGCAAAGTTCAAGAATAGCTACAAAGTGCGCCTTGCTAAAATTAAACCAATTTTGATAAAGATGATATTATTGCGACGGACGCGCCCTTAGGCGCCTTCAGAGCTATGTCATCTTCACATGGGATTTCGTCGGCTACAATCGCGCAAGTGTCCTCAACCGAATAACAGCACAAGAAATAGTACATGAATTTAATCCTATGAAACTAACATACATGTACTTTGTCGGTATATCTTAAAAACTTCCATGTTTAGCCTTTTCAATTTCAAATCATGTTATCCAAGTTAAAATATGAACGTATTTGATTGATAAAACTGCTGTAGCCCCGTAGTATTATTGCGCAATTTGCAAATAACTGCTGAAACGATTTACCGCTGTCGAAAAAGTAAGACAGCAAATTATGCTATAATTAAGGAGTAAGCTCAATAATTCCTAGAAATCATAAGTAGGAAATAAATATTTTTCCATTATACAAAACATTTTTATTAACAGATCCAAGAGAAATAAAAATACAAATGACTTATATTTTATTGTCTATATGCCCACTATGATATAACACGAAGCAATTCTAATTAACATTCTCACATGTATTATGTATTATGCTTGAAGTTTATTTGCATGGTTTCATTTTAGAAATATTTCGTTGACATTTTTTTTCTATTTACATATCATTTCTTGGAATAAATCGATAAGGACACTGATCTACAAGTTTGATCAGAGTTTTTGGGCATAAATTTCATTCTGTATTTAAAAAATTGGACTTGTTCTGCTTGAATGTAGAAAATCTGAATTATATCAGATTGGGACACATAAAATATATTCTCTACAAATCTTAAACTTATATAAAACAAATTTTGTCTGTTATATCTTTTGTGTTTTTTTTCTAAAAAAGCCTTAATGTCTCTCCGGTTGCATGTCCGTCGCATTTAGTGCATTAAGCACCTTGATATTTTATTTGGATTTTTGAGTGAAAAGTGTGGATATATAAACTACCTACCAAGATTTTATTTCATCGGAACCGTTAGGCAAGGGTGATATTTTATCTTGGCAGGTAATATATCCAGATTTATCAAACCAAAATCAAAATAATAATTTTATTACCCTTCCACTGCCGAGTAAGATGATTTTAAGATAAATCATTGCTGTTTCAAATGAAACGTCGAAAAAAAAAAGATTCCATTTACCCCTTCACCGTAAAATGACGTCATCGGTACCTAACGAACGTAAAAAAGAGAAAAATAAGTAGTCTTTTGAAGACACTTTTGGTAGTTAATATCAAGCTTTAACGAGGTCATATTTGTTTTAAATACTGATGAGAAATAAATCATTACTCTATTATGGTAAATATTTTTATTTGACGGTTAAAATGTGCATGTATATCGGAATTTATACTGCGCAATATCGAACCGTACGCGCATCGTCACAACACAAAGAAGGGTACCCAAAGGGGAAATTTTATGTGTATTTTACCTGTCTGGTCCGGTTAAATGAATTTCTTTCGGCGAATCAAAATCGGCGGAAAAGCGCGCGCGTGTGTGTGTGTTTTGGTGTGTGTGCGTGTGCGTGTCATTCTGTCCGTCCGTCATTCAGTTTGTCTGATAATCTTGTTCGCGTTTCATCACCAAAACTGATTGGGGATTTCTGTGAAATTTCACAGGTTTGTTTGTCACAAAAGCTAGTTGTGCTTACGCTTTTGATATTCTGCTTCATTTTTTGCACAGTTATGACCCCTTAATGGTTTATTTCCGAACAAAATAAGCTTGTCCACACTACACCTCCAAAACCGCTGGGAGAATTTCAGTAAAACTTAACAGGATTTTATTTTTGTCACCAAGCCTAGTTGAGCCTAGTGTAAATTAACTTTGTCCATCTTTTATGTGCATAACCACTAGGAAAATTTCAGTGAACATTTATAAAATTGTTTGGATGGTGTCATGATTTCAAAGTCTAGTTGTGCATTGTGCCATGATTTTGTGCATGATTTTTTTTTTCACACAATTATGGGCCCTTGATGATGATTTTTTAAATGAAATTTGTTGAGACTATGTCGTCTACACTTCTAATAGAATTTCAATAAAATATAAGGAATGATATTTATCAAAGGCGGTCAGGCGTATATCCAGTATTTTCACTATTTTGGCATATATTGCGGATTTTATGTCAAAGCTTCCTGAAAACTCGTTAGGATCCTTCCGATTCGATAATCAATATTGATTTCAATTTAATTATCCAAAACGTTTTGTCTTCTTAGGTAGATGCAATAGCATGCACGACATCAATAGATTTTAATTTATCAATTGGTTTAGTCTCAAGTGCCCTGTTAAAACAAGGTGGCAATGAATTACAGAGAGAATTGAACAACAAATGTAGTGGAGCTCCTTATTATGGTGAAGTTATACCTGTTTCTGGACACAAGCTTGATTGTAGAGTGGTTTTCTTTGGTGCAATGTGCCCATATTACCCTGATTATGAAAAGGGAAATAAGACGGTAGAGGAATGTAATCGTTATGTGAGTACATAGATGTAGTGTTACTGAAGTAAGGTATATTTTCCATATACACTGTATATTCCCATTCCAACCCATTTTGCTAACAGGTTATTTGAGAATATTATCGAGTATTTTACAAAAACACATCCTTCCCAAATTATACGTTCGATCACAGTGTAATGAATGTAGAGTGTATTACTTTCTGCCAAAATAATGTGTAAAGAAGTTAACCAAGTCAGTCTGCTGAAAAAAATAACAAGTCTGCTTATATTTACAATATATAGTAGTCTACTCAAAAGATGATTAATACAAGTCATGTATACATTCGTTTCCTTCATTTTCCGAATTTTAAATTCTCAACATTTGCCAACTTATATGTTAAGACCTCATCTATAGGTGTGAAGTAGGTCCAAAGGAAGTCAATTAAATTGATATTTTGTATTGTATTCTTTGACAGAGTATTTATGACTTGGTGAAGAGATGTCTAAATGGGGCTGAGAAGAAGCAGTTAAAATCAATAGCTTTCCCTGCTATTGGAGCCGGAAACTTGAAATATCCATTACATATTGTAGCTGATGAAATGTTTAGGGCGGTTGGTGAATGGCATGGAACCTTCGTCAAAGAAGTCAAATTTGTAATACCTCCAAAAGACACATGTGTTTTACAGGCAAGTATACGTGTATATAATAATATGTGGCCAAAACATGAGAAGAAATGTTCTTAAAATGCATGCATGAAGTTTGAGAGTAATAAAGATGATATTTGTTTTCAGTGAATATGATTTAAGTATCACCCTGTGTGAAAAATCAGTTTAGTGTGTGTGTTATTTATTGCATATTTACAATAAGCAAACAAAATTTCCCTTTATGTTATGCTTTTAAAGTGTAGTGGCGAGAATTCTGAACTGTTAACATTAAAAATGAAAAAAGACACATTTTGTCGTCAGTCAGACATTCTACGTTCATGCAAATGTTGCAAACACAAAAGTAATTCGAGATTGTAGTCATTATCGAGGAGTGACTGTTCACAATTGTGAAATAACGACAGAAAAAATGCAATTGTGGATAAAACCCAGTATCTCACTTATAAAAAAAGAGAATTTATTCCAAATTCAATGGTCATGATAAATAAAGTGTATGATATTTTTCTTAACGCCCCAGAAATGCTTCTAATTATTTTAAAGAATCTTTTTATAATGTTGTACTTTTAAATTTTCCAAAAAAGTAACTTATTGACCAATTACCCGAGCCATCGCTTTTTTTCTGTTGCTTTATGGCAATAATTACAATTGTGGCGTCAAAAGAAAAGAAAGTCAAAATACTTCGTTATTTACATCGTGTAACTTTTTTGATACATATAGTTGACATTAAGTGATAAAGTGTGTGTGTGTGTGTGTGTGTGTGTGTGTGTGTGTGCGTGTGTGCGTGCGTGTGCATGCGCGTGCGTGTGTGTGTTGGGGGGGGGGTGGTAAATTGGCCCTTGTAACAGTGCTTGGGCTAGGATCAACAAACTTTACAAATGTGAAGTTATGCACGTAGATTCATTCAGTTTTATCAGAGTTATTTCCCTTGACTAAATAAAAATTAGCAATTTTCAATTTGTGATGCCCGTAGCTCAAAAGTATTTGGTCTGGCGTCATGTGCATGTGCAGTTTTAATGTGCACCTGTGGGTTAACTTTAAGTATTGCTCTTGACTTAGTAAAAAATGCAATTTAAACTTGAGTCGCACATAGCCCAAAAGAGTCACAAAACGTTACAGAAATGTGAGTCAGCATGTTGAGTTGTGCACATGGGAATGTGCTTTTGGATTTATTCAGTATTTGCAGAGTTATTGCCATTGACTTAATAAAAATTGGCAATTCTCATCTTGTGTTGCGCGGACCGCAAAAAGTATTTGATCTAGAGTCATGAAAGTTGACAGAAATGTTGGTCAGCATGTATAGAAGTGCCCCAGGGGTTTGCTTGTGCATTTATTCAGTATTTGTAGAGTTATTACCTTTGATTTAATAAAGATTTGCACTTTTCAACGTAGCCCAAAAGAACTGAAGATGGATTCATTTAACTTTACAGAAATGTTTGTTTTGTTTTCTTTTCTTTTCAGTTTCAGGTCCACAAAACCCCATTTATTGATAAATCTAGATCGTACAATTATGCATAACTTTACAAATACAAATCATACAATAAATCATTAAACATTAAAAAAGGAGACATAAGATTTTCACATTACATTTTATAGTATACATTTTGAAATTGCTGAGATAATAAAAAAACATCAGAGGAAAACAATGGTTTATAATTGCATTATAACATATTTATAAAAAGATGCTTTTTGAGATAATTTTACTTTCATTTATATACAATTTACTATTTTTTTCTTTTTTTAGCTCACCAGAGCCGAAGGCTCAGGGTGAGCTATTAGTATTAAGAGGGGATGCTCCGGCGTCCGTCGTCCGTCGTCATCCGTCAACAATCGTCTTCTTCTTTGAAACTACTAGGCAGATATACTTCAAATTTGGTCTGTAGCATCCTTGTGACAGTCACACTTGAATTTGCTCATGTCATTTCAATTGGCCCCTTTTAGTGGTCCGCAGAATTAAAATAGAAATACCTTTAAACATCTTCTTCTACTGAACTAATGGATGGATAATCACCAAACTTTGTCTGTAGCATTCTTTGGTAGTCTTTTATCAAGTTTGCTCATATTAATTTGATTGGCCCCTTTAAGGGGTCTCTAGGGCTAAAAATAGAAAAACCTTTAAAAATCTTCTTCTACAGAACTAGGGGATGGATGATCACCAAACCTTGTCTGTAGCATTCTTGAGTAGTCTTTTATCAAGTTTGCTCATATGAATTTGATTGGCCCCTTTTAGGGGCCGCTATAGCTAAAATAGAAATACCTTTAAACGTCTGTTTCTATAGAACTTATTGATGGATGATCACCAAACTTTTTCTGTAGCATTCTTAGGTAGTTTTTTATCAAGTTTGCTCATATTAATTTGATTGACCCCTTTTAGGGGTCTCTAGAGCTAAAAATAGAAAAACCTTTAAACATGTTCTTCTACAGAAGTAATAGATGGATGATCACTAAACTTTGTCTGTAGCATACTTGGATAGTCTTTTATCAAGTTTGCTCACATTAATTTGATTGGCCCCTTTTAGGGGCCGCTAATGCTAAAAATAAAAATACCTTTAAACGTCTGTTTCTATACAACTAATTGATTGATGATTACCAAACTTTGTCTGTGGCATTCTTAGGTAGTCTTTTATCAAGTTTGCTTATATTAAGTTGATTGGCCCCTTTAAGGGATCTCTAAAGCTAAAATTAGAAATACCTTTAAATGTCTTCTTCTACAGCACTAATTGGTGGATGATCACCAAACTTTGTCTGTAACATTCTTAGGTAGTCTTTTATCAAGTTTGCTCATATTAACTTGATTTGCCCCTTTTAGGGGCTGCTTAAGCTAAAAATAGAAAAACCTCTTAACATCTCCTACAGAACTTATCAATGGATGATCAGCAAACTTTGTCTGTAAAATTCTTTGGTAGTCTTTTATCATGTTTTGCACATATTAATTTGATTTTAGGGGCCTCCAAAGCTAAAAATAGAAAAACCTTTGAACATCATTTCCTACTGAAATCCCCATTAAATGTTTGCCTGTAGCACTCTGAGGTAGTCTTTTATCAAGTTTGTTCATATTTATTTGATTGGCCCCTTTTAGGGGCAGCTAAAGTTGAAAATAGAAATACCATTGAACGTCTCCTTCTACAGAAGTAATGGATGGATGATCACCAAATTTTGTTTGTATCATTCTTAGGTAGTCTTTTATCAAGTTTGTTCATATTAATTTGATAAGGCCCCTTTAAGGGGCCGCTAAAGCTAAATATAGAAAAACCTTTGAACATCATCTCCTACTGAAATATTTGATGGATGATCACCAAACTTTGTCTAGAGCATTATTAGGTAGTCTTATATCAAGTTTGCTCATTAGTCATATTAATTTGATTGACCCTGTTTAAGCTAAAGGTTTAATTCCCCAGGTCATGGCATTTCTTCAAATTATAGTTTAAAAATATTCTATGCTCAAATTTAATATTAAAAATATTGACAATGGATACACAGTCTTTTTATAAATATAAAATAAACGTGCTTTGATTTCACACAAAAAAGATATGTTATGTTTTAAACTCTTAACACTATAGAAGGTCACAATATAAATATAATGATTATAAGTGTCATTAAAAAAACTCTTCCAAAAGAGGTTCAATGGCTTGGAGAAAGTTTTAATGTCATGATCTGTTTATGATTCAGCACTAGAAATCGGAAATCATATTGCATCATTCGTAAGGTCATTTGTAGGTCATTAACCAGGAAAAACATAGGCCTAAAGAAACATTAAATTTGTTTCTCCTGTACCTGACTAACAAAGATGAGTTTGTATGCTCAATTTTGTTATTGAATTTTGTTAAAAATTGTATTTTTTTTTTTTTTCATTTTTTTTAAAATTGGATTTAAACTTGGAAAAAGCACATTTCAATAAATTTTGGGACAGACTGTTGAAGCTGAGTTTCATTTACATAATTGAATTTTGGTATCAGTGGAACTGTTTTTGATATTTTTGAAACCATTGCACATACTTTCTTGTTTTTGATGTACAGAGACTTGAAATTTGGAATGATGTACAGAGACTTGAAATTTGGACCAGGAATGTAATTTCTGATGCGGAATGAATTAAGATATCAACTGACTACTTTTGATATTATTATTTGATATTGTTTGACCTAGTTTGTCGTTTTTTTGATGTACCTGCTGGAAATTTGGACAAGGGGTTTAATTTCTGATCCTGAAATGAATTTTGATATGAACTGGCCTACTTTTGATATATTTGATATCGCTTTACCTACTTTTTTGTCTTTTATGTACAGACTTGAAATTTTAACCAGGGGTGTAATTTGTGTAATTTTTGATGTTGAATTCAATTTTGATACCAGCTGACCTACTTTAGGTATTATTGACACCATTTGACCTACTTTCTTGTATTTTGACATTCAGATTTTAAATTTGGACCAGGTTTGTATATTCTGATGCCGAAATGAATATTGATATCAACTGACCTACTTTTGATATTTTTTATATAATTTGACCTCAATTCTTGTGTTTCTTTAACATACAGACTTGTAATTTGAACTAGGGTTGTAATTTCTGATGCTGAATTGAATTTTGATATCAACTGGCCTACTTTTCATATTTTTTACAATGTTTGACCTATTGTCTTTTTTGAGGTACAGTTATGTTACCATACAGAATGTATTAAAAATTTGTTGTCCTCAAACATCTACACCTTACATGTTTTACATGTGACATTTTGTGTTTTCATTCAAAAAGGTTATAAAAAAATTGTTTAGTCAAAATTAATCCTGCTCCAGTGGTCATTTATTCTGCATTTATTCTACATAGTCTCATAGGAACACACTTGCAACATACATATTTTTAACAAAGCCTTTCCAAAATATTAGGGCAAAATATTTCAATTTATATTGTGAATAATGAAATGATGGGTTAGATGAGTGATCTAGGGCCATTTTAGTGGCCCTATGTTTTATTATGAAGAAAAAAAAAACAAAACAAAAAATGTTGTGAAAGTATATTACTAGAGGGGCAAGTTAAAGTTGAGCTGAATTTGCCGAAAGACCTGCACCTGCCTTTCAGCAAATTCTTTTAAAAAATAATCTCCAACTCTGTAAAGCCGTTGTTTCTGGTGAGCGACGCAGGGCCATCATGGCCCTCTTGTTTTTCATCCTGTCCTCCACAGTGTCCTAAGCAAGATAACCTACACGAAAAGGGTATACTAAAAACAAATATCTTCTCGTGGATTATTATTGAAAAAAGAATGAAAAAGTATTATATGAAAGTATTATCACATAATATTATATGGTAGGTAGCCTTATAAACACCATGGACAAGGATTATCTCAATTTAAATAAATCACATTTCATGTCTTATAACGAGATCGAAATACTACTCTCATCACAGGATTTTCATATGTATAATTGGAGTACCTTAAATTTGTGTATAAATGCAAAGAAAATCATGTAAAAAATGCAAAGAAAATCATGTAAAAGAAAAAAATGAAAATAATTCCACATACATTAGCATAACTATGCTTCTAAAAAGTCGTATCTCAATAAAGAAGGATAACAACCATAATTTTCCTAACATATGTTAACTCATTTACTTCCCTTTATTAGAACAGCTAATTTCTTCTTGAATAAAGATTTTTCAAAGTTCCAAATTACATAAAACATATTAAGAAGATTCAAATAATATTAAAATCAGCCGGAACTGATAGTCTCTGCCCACTGTATCGTGGACCTGAACTCAACCAGAGTTCGACCTGGGGCCAAGAAGCTCCAAAACGGTCTTCCTGCGACAACGCGCGCCTCAGGCCGTGCCAGTTGCACTTCGGACCCTCGACCTCCTAAGGTTGTCGGGAGTCAGGAGTACCCCTGACTTCACGATGAGCCAACATACAGTTGGCACAAGCCACGGTTCCAACAATCTTAATATCTATAAGATTCTGTATATTGATCATATCAGCATTAGAAGTGTAAAATATGTATGTATAATATACTAGTGGCCCGAAGCTTTTTTATGAAGTGTCACCAAAAATATATTAATTACTAAGAAAACACTCTATATTGATATGGCACATCTCTGACTTTGGATGGTTATATAGTTTATGATTGATCTTTTTACCAGGTAATTTCCTTGTGTTTTAATATAAGGTGAAATGTCGACAAGAACTTGATAGGGAGACCATCTACTATTAAATTTATCCCAGTTTCAAGAAGAATATTGGATATACTTTTCTACATTATATGAAAACGAACGTATTTTGAAAAGTTTGTATATTAAAATTTTGGTAAGAAAAATAAAATTTAATGTTTCATCCGTTTTCTTAGGATCCGTTATCCCAGAAAGTATTTCTTCTTTTGGGAGTTCATAATCAGTAATATTCGGCCATTTACTTTTAATGAAAATTAAAACTAAATTGACTAACATGCCGACATTCATAAAACAAGCGTAAAAGTGTTTCGTTACTTTTCTGGCAAAAAGTGCATGTATTGTCATCTTTTATTTCAATCTGTTAAAAATTTAAAAAGTATTTATTGCTAAGATTCTATTTATTAATTTGTATTGGAAGTATCTTAAATTTGTTTCTGATGTAATGTTGTTAACAATAGTATAGACTTTATTCCATTCGAAAGTTTCTGGTAATAATAGTTCATGTTTCCATTTATCTTGAGATTTCGGAACTTTTTTATTTTTTACAAGTCGTTCAAAAAAGGAATCGCATCCCTTTATATTTTGCGTGATAACTTGAATTTGCTTAGGAATTATTGGTTTAAAAGTGTAAGAAGGTTCAGAATTGATTTCAAGTTTAACTCTTAGATTTATTAGCGATCTTAAAAGTCCTTCATATCGTAGAAAATTTATGTTAATTTGTAAAATATTTTGTATAGATTAAAAACATAAGAATAGACCATATTGTCAATTATATTGTCAATTAAATCAGCGGCAAAACATTAACAATTTTGAAATAGGTTATTGTAAAAATTGCTGTGCCTCCGACCTTCATTGTTTGATTGAAACAAATTGGTTGCCTGAGATATTCATTCTAATTTATTATTTATACTTTCGAATAAAACGTTATCCATTATGCCTCACCGCTGTGGGTTCGAATCCCGACAGGGACTTTGGATTCTTTAATGTGAGGAAGCTATCCAGCTAGCTTACGGAACGTCGGTGGTTCTACTCAGGTGCCCGTTCGTGCCTGAAGTGATGCACGGAAGGGCACCTGAGGTCTTCCTCCAACGTCGCGATATGACCTATACTGTGTCGATGTGACGTAAAACCCAAAAACACAAAAAACACATTATCCATTATGCAAAGGCTTTCGTTCCAGAAGGGGTTGTCGATTCTTGATAATTGATTTTTTATAACATCTGGTCCGAATTTTGAAAAATTACATATATCAGGAAAAGAATTTCCAAAGCAAAGATATTTTCCATTTTTATTTACAGAAATGTTGATCAGCATGTGAAGTTGTGCATAGGGTGGTTTATTTGTGGAATAATTCAGTATTTGTATAGTTATTGCCCTTAACTTGGATAAAATGGTTGTCGTCTTTATGCACCAGCCACTTAGGGGAATGGAGAGTCATGTAGAATTTTCTCTGACTGTCCCTTTGTCATTCTGTTTTGCTTGATGTCAGTAGACGGACAAAACAGAGGAATATGGGGGCACCAGTGTCCTAAGGACACATTTCTAATTAATAACAAATATCTAACATGCTCTAATACTTTTATTCAAATGTTATTAAACTCATGTTTGCCTTTACTAATCTAAAACTATTCATGTATTAGGCATAATGTAAATGATATATTACATGTTTGATAAAAAACATGAAATAAAAACAATAATTGATTTATTCAGGAAGTCTTGTTTTAAAGTTATACACGTGAAAAATCTTTCTGTCCCACAGCAATTTCCCCTAATAATTAATAAATATGTATAATAACTTGATAAGGACTTAATTCATGTAAAGTAATCTTTCCCAAGATCATGAATAGATATGTATTTGATTCCAACTTTGTGTCATCTATTATAACGTTTGCTACAATTGTTTTCTATATGAAAGCGTATTGGAAGTTTTTGGTTGATCTTTTGATTATATCATAATTTATTTTTTCTGGCTCTGCCAGACATTATCAATAATAATAATAATAATAATAATAATAATAATAACAATGATAATAATAATAATAATAAACTCTTTATTTAACGAAGGTAACTTATTAGACAATACATCACATTAGATACAACACATATAATGCAAAATCTTATTTTCAACGAGGCCTTCAATAAAACATAAACATAACAATGGACATATTCAACCAATTGTAAAGATTACAACATTCAGTAAATCTTAATCAACAAAGAAAACAGACATAATATTATATTATAGTATAGGTAAATTTTCTTTAATTCATCTCTAGATAATAATAAATGTTTGAAATGTGATTTAAACAATTTAAGACTTGAAAGTTTTCTTATTTTTAAAGGAATAGTGTTCTATAACTCCATACTAGAATAATAAAAAGTACGTTTCAAATAATTTGTTTTAGGTCGTTTATGCATAATATCTTTTTTATGTGTTGATCTTAGTAAGTAAGTTTTATTTTGAGATAACGGAATTAGATTAGAAATATATGCTGGTGTTTATTTATTCATCGCTTTATATACCATAATTCCCTGAAAAGTATTTACTTCTAGATGGAAAAGATAACCATTTCATATTTTGAAACATATCAAGAGAATTTTTTTACGGGTTTATTTAAAATAATTCTGGCGGTTCTTTTTTGTAATTTTGTTATTCTATTTAGATCTGATTTGTTACATTGGGACCAAATAATACATCCATAATCAAAAGTAGGGGCAATGTAAGCGTTATAAAATGATTGTTTCATTTCAGGTGTAAGAAATATTTGAATTCTTTTCAGCAGAGATATTTTAGAAGCAAGCTTAGAACACGTTTTGTCAATATGTGTTTTCCAAGATAGACAGTTATTAATATGCAATCCAAGTATCAATCAAAGTTTTGTGTTTGTATTAAAGTACTTAACATTAGGAATTTGTTATTTTATAAGCTGTATGGTGTGATGAATAGATTAGAATGTTAATTTGTAACCGATTGTCAAATTTATGATATTGTTCCTATAAATATACTATGGATACTATGATTAAAGCAAACTAGCAACACAAAAGCTTATCTTTAATTCAATTGTCTTATTTAATTCAATTGTCTGGTCAATAGTGATAATATTATCATAAAACATATCATTTCAAAATAATTAAAGAACATGTTATAATATGTAACAAAAAATAGTGTATATTCACTGTTTCAGGAATTCGAGAGAGCAGAAAAGAAATATGGTACGTTCTTTTGTTTATTAAAGGGTATATTTTATCAAGCGCTTTAAATATAAAGTCTAATGAAAGACAATGAATGGGGATTGTTTTTATTATTTTGAAAAATAGCTTAATAACAGACGAGTGAAGGAATTATTCTTGCATACCTTTTGCCTTTTGGTTTTCCGTTATCTGTTCTCTTTTAAAATAATGTCCAATCGCAACTTTACGGCCCTTTAAGTCAGTCATCTGATAAGGACATCTACAATAATAGTATGAATACACAGAACGGATGTCATATAAAATTTATGCATTTGTTTTACATTATGGAAGATTACACTCTCTGCTTCTGATTATATTTGAAACCACTAGCGGGGGATATTCCGATTCAATTTAACAATGACGTCATTCTGACGCCTTTATATAAATGAGATGCATTCTTATGATGACGTCAATATGCTGCTTAAGAATTGCTGTAGTTTTTTCTAATATAAAATATATATCAACTGAAATTGATAAAAACTGTAGCGTCAGAGTATCTGAAATCCAAGAAAACGAAACAGAATACGAACGGAAAATATCATTTTTGCCTAAAAGGGATTTGTTTATTCCTGTTATCGGAGGGAGAACAATAATAAGCAAAGAACATCCACATACACAACCTAACCCAGTGTTTATTGACATTAAACAGCGATTTTTTTTATTTGTGTAAAGTGACAGAAATACGAGACATGTTATAATATCATAATATATAATAAATATTTGTTTCATTTAGATCAATCACCATTGTTTTACGGTTCGGCAAATGAAACAGGACAAACATGGAATTCACGGGTTTTGACTTGTAGCATCAACCCATCTGCGGGACAAACAGAGGTAGATTATGATATTTCTGTGATATTTACTGGTACACAGAAATCTCAGATATCTGGTGCTAAAATATCCTGCTGTTTATGTGAAACCTCATGGACAAACGTTTGATTAAAGAAAGCTTGAGAAATGGGTATTTAAATTAGTCTGAATATGCAAAGACGCTCTTGGGGGTCAGATCCTGCCCCCAACGTAATACGCCCCTGAAAACACCTTATCAAAAATACTGTAATATTTAAACACGAATTGGACATCTCTTACAACGATAAAACTGGTTTTCAAAACAATTTTTACATAAGTATACATATGAAAATATACCGTATACCATCAAGGCTGACTTCAAACGATATGACAGTAAACTAATTCTGATCCAGCTGAATGTTTTCAATTCAGTCTTTCAATATATAAAAATTCAGTAATGCTCACCTCCGCTGATCAAACCTTCATTTCTCCTGGTCTCGCGTTTACTAATAAAAGATCAGGATCAAATGATCCTGGTTTTATTTTCCTTATCTTTTTAAACATAAATTGATTTTATTTTGCTAGAATTAAATTGTACATATTAAAAGATACAAAGGATATAATAACACTTAAGTGTTATTTTATATCTGTATATAATTATTCTTCTAAAACATTTTCCAAACATCAAAATTATGTTAAATATGTACTGCAAATGTTATTCGCAATATAAGTAATCACTAAAATCTATGCATTCATTCCTTTTTAAAAATTTGGCGAGACTTTGTCGAAGATATATTTCTAACAACCTCTCTTTATCACTGTTGTACAGCGTCCACCGGATATAACCCCTCAAAACTCCGAAAACGAAAGTCAAAATGTTTACGTCGAGTTCACCCACGGTTATGTTTCAACTTATTTCTCCATCATATCTTCATCGATTTTTCCAAACTTTACAATTTTGTGAAGCTAAATATGTCAGAGTTTAGAGCAGTATTTGTTTTTTTTTTGTTTTTTTTTGCACATTGAATACTTTTTGTTAAATTAGCGATAAATTGTGCCGTATGTGTTGGCATTTGCGAACAATGTTGATATTAACTTGTAAATCAGGTCCAAAATGCATTTGTTGTATCAAAATCCGTATTGAATATAAAATATAGACTTCCTTCTACTTCTATTTGAATGAGTGGCCAAATAAACAATTTGCGAATTTCCAAAGATATTTTCTTATTGTTTATCAGCGTGTGAAGTTGTACAAAGGGTGTTTATTTGGTCATTGAGTGTTTATTTTTGTGTGGATATGTTTAGTATTTTTAGAGTTATTGCCCTTGAAATAGTTTCAACTTGTGTCGCATGTAACAAAATGTATTTGACCTAGAGTCATGAAACCTTACAGGAATGCTGATCAGCATGTGTAGTTGTGCACCTTGGTATTTTTGTGTGGATATATTTAGTATTTTTAGAATTATTGCCCTTGAATTAGTAAAAATTTCCAATTTTCAACTTGTGTCGCACGAAACCAAAAAAGTATTTGACCTAGAGTCATGAAAATTTACAAGAATATTGGTCAGCATGTGTCTTTGTGCACATGGGTATTTTTGTGTGGATATTTTCAGTATTTGTAGAGCAATTGCCCTTGACTTAGTAAAAATTTACAATATTCAACTTGTGTTGCACGTAACTCAAAAAGTATTTGACCTGTAGGCCTGAAAGTTTAAAAGAATATTGATCAGCATGTGCATTTATGCACCTTGGGGGTTTCGTGTGGATTTATTCAGTATTCCTTTACTTAATAAAAGATTTTTAGTTTCCAACTTGGGCACATGTAGCCAAAAATAATTTGACCTAGAGACATAAGATTGACAAATCGGTGGAGTGTGGGGGCACCTGTGTCCTATGGACACATTTCTTGTTCTTTTTACGTATATTGTTTTTGTGTGTGGAGGCTAGCAAATAACTTGAGATTAGACCCACAATAACATGCTTACACACTAAGCGCATGAATATAATGCATATAGTCTCATATGGTCTCATTGGCCTCCCGTTTATTATCTCAATTAAAATTTGAAAATGATTGCATATTCTTTGGTATCATTCATTGAATTACTGAACCCAAAAAAGTTACCATAATATTTAAGGGCGTGACTGGTGGCATGGTCGGCGTCCGTACTCTCAGAGCCCGAAATGGCGGATTGGCCCTCATTAAGCATAGAAAAAAGAATACAGGTCGATAATTGATCAAGCACTTGAAAGATAATGCACGGGCGTCATTTTCTACAAAACGGCATTAGCACGTGTCTTCCATAAAACCATTTTAGCCACATTGAATAATCAAGGTGTCGCCTTAGGATTGAAACACTTGAGAAAAAATGTGTTTCACGATTTAATTTGACAGACCATTCAGTGGCGTAGCTACTATTAGGCCATGTAGGTCTGGGCCAAGTTGTTCAAGAAATTGACATTTTCATAAGTCTTATAAATACAATAAAACAGGCGTGCGTGGGATTGGTAGTGTGTTCAAGCCGTATGGTCAGATCAAGTGTGTGTTTTAGGCTTATGGCATGATTTACTGTCCTCAGTTTGCATCTAATCAAATTCATAGTTTACATTTATTGTTTTGATAATTTTCCTTTAAAAAACTTTGGAACGCGCATTTGCTCTTTTTAATCTGAACTTGTTTTTGGTCCTAGACCACTTTTTATGAGCCAACAAGTTGAAAAAAAAGCTGGCTACACCCCTGTCAATAAAATTTATATTCACGTTTATGATAAAACATATGTATACTTCCTTGATGTTGCGTGACCTCACTGCATAGTAATGTGTGGTCAGATGTTATCTTACAGGGAAGGGCCCATGATAATATTGCAAACAACTCTTGGCCAAACCCTTTTGTATGTTGTGTAATTATGTTGATGTAAAAGAATTGATGAATTATATTAAATATGGAATAAAATATTATAAAACAAATTGTTCACAATACATAACTTGAACATGATTTGATATTGTTAAGACAAATTATAGTATTCTACTGTAAAGTTCTTCCAATCTCAATCTATGATGATTCAGTCTACTGAGTTTTACATTTTTCCTCAAAATCGCGCATAAAAAGTGGTCTAGCGCAGGACGGAAACGGTTTACTATCATTGATATTCATGGTACGTATAATGTTTCTCATTTATATCTTCGTTATTCCTTCATCAGCGTATGTGTATGCTCTGGTAATTTATTTAATTTATTTTTTGCAGAAAATAGAGCATTCGTTTTCTTACTGCACCCCGTGCACTTGCTAACAGTCCATCTACAGCCCGTACAAAACCGTGCTAGACTCTGTACACAATGCAATGTCGATTTTCGCGAATTTTGCTAAAAGCAGTTGCATTTGATGGATGACCACTCACATACAAGTAGAAGGAAGTCTATAATTTATGTTAAATACGGATTTTGAAACAACAAATGCATTTTGAACCCGAATTACAGGTAAATACCAATATCGTTCGCAAATGTCAACAAAAACGGTATAATCGATTTAACAAAAAGTATTCAATTCGCAGAAAAAAAAAACAAATACTGCTTTAAACCCTGACATATTTAGTTTCAAAAAATTGTTTAGTTTGGAAAAATCGACGAAGTTATGATGGAGAAATAAGTTGAAACATAACCGTGGGTGAACTCGACGTAAACACTTTTACTTTCGTTTTCGGAGTTTTGATGGGCTCTATCCGGTGGAGGCTGTACAACAGTGATTATCAACATGAAATGTACATCCTGTATAATCTTTGCAATGAATGCTTTTTTTAAACTTACAATATTGATGAATCTTCATTTGAGCATCAGATTTATGATGTAAAACCATATAATAATTTGAGTTACAGGATCTTTTAAAATGTTAACAAATGCTGATTTTAAAAGAAGCACTCGAATAACAAAACATATAAAAAAAAGTCAGATCAAAATAAGGATCAATTTTATGATCAAGATCAATGTTTGTTGTTTCAGCTGTAAAACATCCATATCTTGTAAAAGCAACAACAAATTTATTCTAAAACTTCACAAACATGTTATTCAAAGTCTAGTTTTATCAAGTAAATATTAAATCTATGAAGATGTACATTGGCGAATGTTTTAAAATTTGATCCTGATCTTGATATTGCTCCTTAAATCTCTGTGAACACGGGCCTGGAGTTTTGAACGTAAGTCTACTGGAGTTTTTGATAGAAGTGTTTTTTTTTTTTTTTTTTTTTTTTTTTTTTTTTTTTAAAGCCTAATCTTTAACACATTTCAAATACTGTTCATAATGATCCACTATGTCTTGTTGATTGTTGTAGTGACAATAGCTTGAAACTTTATCCATTTCATAAATATTTCTTGTCGAAGGAACTGCGAATTTATGGTATATTCTTAAAACGAATCAAGCAACATGTATACTTTCTCGAAGTTATACAAATAGTCCATAGTGTCCGCTTTATACATATTTTTTTACATTATCGTAGGTGTACAAATTTGTCGCCAGTTCAGTGTTAAAGTCATTTCAATTGCATGAAATGGTTGATTGAAACAAAAATATAACAAATCGCTACATAGGTTTGACAGACTTGTTACTATCCCTCCATTATTTCATTCTTTCCCGTCTTCCTAAAATCAGGTACATTTAGCAGAAATGTATGTCTATGTACTGGTCAAAAGAGTCATTCTTACAAATCCATACACATGTTGAATATCATTGTACAGTAGCTACCATTTACTGAATTTGATATGCCTCTTCTCAGTCTTTTTCATCGCATAAAATGATGTGCGTTTGTCCTTTTGTGTGTGCTTCTCCTTCGGGATCCTGTGCTGCAGGATATTAAGGGGGCTACAGTCTATGAACGTGACTCAAACTACTCTCTAAATCTTAATTAATGTTCCCTTTCTGTTCAGTAGTTGCTAGTGAATTCATACATGTGTACACTATGCTGAGAGGATTGAACAATTAAACAAGTGTTTTACGAGAAGTTGAAATATATCCTATGAAAACCGGTGACACAGGCATAATACAAGCTTTTTATTTTAGTCATTGACGATGGCAAATGACTTTACCCCTTGCCGAATAATATGCTTTGAATGAATATTTGTCTAAGAATGAATATGTTTATATCATTTGAATTAGTAAAATGTTATCCCTTTTTTGTCGTTATGAAAAATTTTAGGGGACCACGAAATATAAGGAACAATTTCAAACTTCCAGTGATGATAAAACCGGCATGAAACAGAAGAAACAATACTTGGAAAAGGAAAATGAAGAGAAAACTGCTCAAACTCTGGGTACTGTCCGAGAAGGTAGAATCATTTTGTCTTCCGTTGAGATTAATTGTAATTTGTCCTAGAGGTCAGAAACTTATGTGTTGAATTTCTTTAAAATGTATGACTCAAAACAAAAAATGTTGTGTAGTCTAATGTGGTAAATAGAATTGTCTATTGGACTTTTATCGTGTTCGAAAAAAAATACCAATCTTTTTGTCAAAAACCTGAGTTTAGATTTTTATATTGTTACGTAAGATATTGGTCCCAACAGAATTTGTTAAAATTATGGCCCTGTGATATAGTAGATATGTATATAGATTTTTCAATGTCTACATGTTACAAAGATCATTGGCATCGATACCAAAATAGATCTTGTTGCTTTTCCCTATAGAATATTTCAAATATAGTGCGACGTCTTTTGAAGGTCAGTACCTGAATGTATATAATTAATTTTCGATGAGAAAAGACATGAGTACTTTTAAGGTCTCATTTAAGATGACAAGGCAATGTTTTATCACTAGAAAGTTTTAGTTGCGTTTATAATTTCGTTTCAAACAGTACCAATCTTTTATCATACAATTTAAGTGAGTCTTATCATTTTTACTAGGTTCAAGTGTTAAACTAATGTTAAATCCAAATTTTCTGCAGTCCATTTTATAACATTTTCATCATTATGCAAGATAATCATAGCATTAATGTATATATAATATATTGTTGAGAGTTTATTTTTACAGATTATTTACCAATAGAGATTTACAGTAGGTCAAATCAAGCATGGCCAAAGTGTGACACCCAAAGCCCCGAGCAGAATATTGGACAAAAAAGGGTAAGGTGTGATATTTTGGCAATAAGGATAATGCTTTCTTTAGTATGTACTTCATAAGTGCAAAATGATAGCATTTTGTTTAAGCACGTTCAGTCTGTATTCATTCTGCAATTATCAAGTGTTAAATCATCGAAAGACGCACGGAACCCAATTTAAGTCGCTGATCCCGAAGAAGTCACTGTTACAAGTCATATGCTTGAACAAACATTTTTGTATCCATTTTTAAAAGTCAACTAATGAAGTTATTTCATTTTATAGTAAATATAGGTGTTTTTTTTTAATTCCTTTGCGTTTTGATCACCTTATTGAACACAGTATGCAGAATCTAATTTTCAAGGACCTCTTGTCCTGAAGTCTATGTCACATTTTACAGCCAGAAAATTTTAACATACTTTGAAACTTGAAAGATTCTCACAATAATTTGATCAAATATAAGCCAGAACTCACGTTTTAAGTTAAGGTCACAGATAAGGGTAAAATATATTTATGTTCGATTGTTATTTCTAGAATTCTTTTCTGATATTGTCTTACCGTCATTGTCTTATAGCAACATTGCTCTCTATCCATTTTTGAAATGTGTTTCTAATAACTGATTCAGTATTGCAATATTTAAACAACTCATCTTATCGTTTCTTGTAATGGGTTATTTAACACATTCATTTCTCAGAAATTTAAGTTAGAATGACTTATTTAATCTTTTCTCTAAAAAGTGTACAGTCTTTGAAATATCTATAATATGGTTTTTGTATTGAAATTACAGAGCTCTTATATGTCTGAAACTTCAAAGGAGAAGTTGTACGAAGTAAAAAAAGTTGGAAAATCTTGGCTTCTTGGTAAACCCGGAGGAAAATTATATGTCTGCCCACTATTATCGAATGCAACAGAAGTAGAAATTTCAGACAACTTCATTGAAGCTGATGATAAAGTTTATGAAATTAAAGAAGACGAATTTGAACAAGTGTGTCTTGTAAGTGTTGAAGAAATACCTATTTATAATCAGCACAATAGTAACAGAGAGCCCATGGAGTCTCGACAGAGGGAATCAAGTTCCCCTAGTTTAATATCTCAAAGAAGAAGCAGAGGATGGTTCCAATCACACCAACAAGAAACACTGCCTCAATATGCAGAAAACCTAAATGAAATGACAATTACAGATGGATCAGAGATCGGGAAGAATGAGGACCAGTACTACTTATTAGAGGCAGGTCAAACAGAAGACTCAAGTTTGATAGAAGTTGCTTTTCCTGCAAAACAGTGAAAATTTTTAAAACTTGAGACATCAAATTGTTATTTTTATGAATTTTCTTTACGACTGAACGGATTTAAGTAAGACTTCAAATAGATGTTTCTGATGAGCACTCATGGTTTTCATGAAATAATTGTTGCACTTATATTTAAAGAAATATCTTATCAGGATTTCGTTTAAAATTATCATTTTGTACTCTACCCTCTTTCTATCGCGTGCATCTTCCTTTCCAATATATTAAGTTTGTTATTTATTATCATAACTCTCTAGAAACTTACAGTTAAGGAATTGTTTTAAACTATAACTGAGGATTTGTCTAAAAAATATCAGTTAAGCTTACATAAGTATGACATGATTTTACTTTTTACTTATTTTTTTATTCGTTACAACAAATAGACTGTTACAATTTGATATTTCACATTAGTTTATATCAATGTTAAGTTGTGCGATAGTTTCGTTTTTTTATTCAGTAAGACATGAATATACTGTAATTTGCAAACAACCGTTTTTTACGGCCAAATAACCTGTCTTAATAGTATATTTCATTCATAAACATGATTTTACCAGACAGTCTACGGAGTAACATGGGAAGTCAATGGCAGTTGTGGGATAGAGGAATTTCTGACCATCCATTATGAAAGTGAAAAGGGAAACTTTGGATTATTTATTTATTCATACAGCCATATATTAAAGTTTATCTGCCAGGACTTATAAAGAAAATAAATATACTTGCTCTCAGCTTACAACATATCCTTAAAAAGTATTCTTTCATGAATGATTGGAAAAGATAATATCATATCATGATCGAATGTAATACATGTATTTCTACTTGCTAATCTAAAGGATATTTAGAAAATTCTATCAAAACAGTCGGTAATGAATTTTATAACTTTACCGGATATAAAACTGTGAACCAAATTTAAGCTTGGTTTCTTTTGTCAACCTACAAAAACTCATTTCATTTAAGATGAAAGGGAGTGCAAATTGATGTAATCAACATATGGTTCCTTCATTAAAGGTACGTATTGCAGTTCAATAACTCTGTCAATGGTAGGAACCGGAAGAATAAAACATTTTTAAACTTAAATGTTGGAAACGAGTTGAAAGTGAACAAATATAATGATTTGCAGTTTATACAGAATTAGTGCATAAACATCTGCAGAAGCACGAAGATGCATCTATGGCCAAACCCCGCAGGGCAAAGGAATTGATAGATCCAATGGCTTCTGCACGAAAGAAAATGTGCATTAACGCAATTCTTGCATGAAAGGATACATTTGATTCTTTTATATTTAAGTGTGTAAAGAACTCGGATTGCTATGCTTTTCACTTGCTTGTGTGATGTCATTTGACATTTATGTTTTGATAATGAAACTACTAGGGTATCGTTGCAGTAAGTTATTTTGATATGACATACTGAGTTACTGACCCATATTGAAAAACATGCAACAACGGCGCGGCTCTTGTGATTATATCCGTGAATTCAACGTTTTCTTGTCCGTTAATGTTTACATGCATGAGCAGGTTTTATACAAGAATTGATATATATTCTTGCATAAAAAGCTGCATACACGGGACCTGAAAAGTCCAAACATGCATATTTTGTCCCTTTGAAATGAGAACAGTTTTGTTTAACAATTATTTAGTCATACTTCCACTGAACTTCTATAAACTTTAAACAAAATATCATTTTTACAGGAACAAACGGATGCATTACGATAAGACCCGGTCTGTTTGTATTGAAATATTGATATTTAGATTGCTTTGGGAACGGTTGTTAACAGTAAATTCATTCCTTACGCAAGACGTGATAAGGTTAAATTTCTATGCTAAATGACGAACATGCTTGTCAAATAAGTATTCATTTATGATAACGTCCATTTCTCCGTCCATTTATATAAAGAATACATAAGATAAGTGTAGATAAGTTTATCTGGCAAGGCTTTATCCAGTTGTTGATATAGACAGTAGCAAGATTTGCAAAATAATTTTTGATCCCCTTGATGTATATTTTCATTAAAATTGGGTCATTTATGCCATGTAGACAAGCTGCTTATTAGTTATTTTTCCCCTTTAAAACCATTTTATGTGTTAGAATTTGACTTTGCGAAGAACGTTTCTGCTTTTGTTTGTCTGGTATTCAAGGCATATGAGGGTAGGGGTTTGGTACATAATTAACTTATTTATTTTTTTAAGTATATTGTGCTCCTTTTTGACACTTATGTGTCCGTTTTTTCGTTGTTAGTAGCTAAGTAGCTTAGGGCTTTCTTTTTTTTTTGTTATTAGTTCACAATGGTATTCAACACTATTACTATTTCTACCCGGTTTCCTATAAAGTGATTATTTTTCTACATACCTTCATATTTTAGAAAGTAGAAAGACAACTAATATAAGTTAGATATACATTTCTGAATTTTTCCTTAATTTTTCAATCGTAGATATCAGCCAGTATGATAAACATATATCCACCATGCGCCATCCATTTTTTATTATTATCATTTTTGTTATTCTTGTTGTTTTTCATTTTTTTCTACAATATTATTATTAATAACAACTACATGTACAATATTTCTAACAAACTTGCAAATTTTGAATGAAGTATGTTCCTTTCAGCCTTTAAATAATTGTCATTTTAATTTGTCATTGACATTTTTAATGCACATAATTACAATTATTCAAATGATTTATGCTTGAAAGAAGTATTCACTTCTTAGTTGTTGTTTGTATTGTTTTCCTCAAAAGAAAATGTGTCGATCATTGTTTGTTAGTTCAACCGATGTATAGGAAAACATATTGAATATGTCTTAGTTTTTCTTCTTCTTTTTTTTTTTTTTTGCTAATTGCTTTCCTTATTTCTTATTTTATTGTTGCTGTTGTTGTTGTTTATTTTTTCATTTTTTACATTTTTGTTTGAAGGAGGAAATAATATCAAATTTTATATAGAGGCACGTTATGTGTTATTCCCTAGTCTTCCATTCGTTAGCCATTTCTTATCCGGTTATTATTTTATGGAACAAAGGTTAGATGTTAATCTCAATGTGCCTAACCTGTAACAAGTTGTTTAAAATCTTCAATAAAGTCAAAAAGTTATGGAGAAAATTTAACCTTGACCTTGAGGTAGCAACCTGGATATTGTGCGCTGAAGATTGTGTCATGATGGGATAATTTGTGTCAAGTAATTTTAATACCTTTGAATTGTCAATAAGTTATAGAGCGTACATGAAAAATAGATATTAACATTAGACCTTTGAGTGTAACCCTGACCTTGAGGGTTATTACTTGCGCATTGTGCTCTGCCAATGGTGTCATAATGGTGATCATTTCTGCCAAGTAATCTATTAGCATTGCAGTGGTTTAAATATTACGGACACGATATGTAGACTTTTTAACACTTGACATTTAAATGTCACTTTGACTTTAGGATTAGCAACCCAATTATTGCGCTCTGCTCATCGACTCATAATTTATAGTGAGCACTTCTGCCAAGTTATTTTAAAAACTTTTGGCGGTTTAAAAGTTAAGGAGCGGGCACAGATAATAGATTTGAGAAAAGAACATATTTGACGCTCACTAGCTTTTCAGGCATGCTTATATTGCACTATTTAACATTTTTCCGACTTTATTTGAAATCTTATTTGATTCTTAAACAAATTTGCATGTGATGCATACTACGTTATTTAACAGCTAAACAAAACGAAGTATCCATCATACAATTATAAACGTCACGGAAATTAAGATTAGTTTTAGTAAACTTTAGTTACTCCATTAAAATTATGAAATAACTGCATGGATGTACAATTTGTTTCCTCATGAAATACTAAAATAAAGATGTTCATAAGAAGCAGTTCATAAGTTTCCAACATACCACTTGAAAACTAATAAATGATTAACCAGTCAATTAAAATGATATAGCTGTCATATATCACTTGTTAGGCAATCCGTTGCACAATATAATATGTGTGTGATGCAATAAAATAATCTAATACAGTTTGTTTTTTGTTTTTAATTAAATGATCATATATTTGTGTTGTCAATGTACATTGTTATAGCACTGGCAAAATGGTTTCAACTATTCTGACATGCATAATTTCTACTGTGTACTTTAAATGATGTACCTGCCAAACTATTTCAAATTGTTATTAATGAAAACTTGGGGTTGTTTTTACTTTACCGATAACAATTTAAAGATAAAAACAGTACATTTTCATTTGATTTTGTATATCACCATGGAGTTACTAGACTAAACTTAGTTTAAACATATTTTATTTAGAAAATGTACAAGCGTGTATCATATTACATCACAATATATATATGAATTTTAAAGAAGCATAACACTCATATTAATTAATTCCTTGTGGAGTTTCGTCTTTATTTTCTTACTTTATATAATCAGTGCATGTTTAATATTTCCATATTAATCTAAATTAACAAATATTCGTACAATATAATTTTGTTTTCACTTTTGATTCATTTTGCTTTCTAATAAAAAAGAGTAGAAGATAATAATTATAATAATAATAATAAAAGACAGTTGCGTCATACAATTTACATAGACTTATCTTCTAACGAAAAACTCGGAATAACGACAATTCAAAATGAAAAAATAATTTACTTGCTGATTGTTATGATATCATATTTTGTTGCGTCGTTATCTTCTTTCTTGATTGTGTTTGTAAAGAATGTTTAAGTTGTCTGGGTCGGATATTTTACTCCAATGAATACTCTTTTTTGTGTGTGAAAATATAAATAAAAATAAGATTATTTAACAAATAAAAACTGTTAATGTAATGTATCAATTATAAATGTATCTTCACTTTTCTGGTGTTACTCAGTTTTACCAGAAAATTTTATGCTTTGATGTTTCCTACATTAATTGTCCATGTTTTGAGCTATGTTATTAATTGATGAGACAAATTTCTGTTATACGGGCATGTTTACAAAAGAGATGACTTAAACCTTTACAAAACATTTTTTCCGTATGTATAGATACTTCTAATTGCTAATTTTGTAAAGTCATTACGTTAATAATAATATTTTTCTCACAATAAGATTTTTACCCCAAAATTGGCATTTCCAGTGTTTACAGATTTATGCAAACACTTGGATTCTTCATAGTCACTGGTTGACCAGATTAACAGAAAAAACACATGTTCTGTTCGTCAGCAATTAACCTCTAGCATTGAATAGAAAAAGGTGGGACTAAGGTTTTCTCTGCTATAAACTGGCAAAGCCATGTTCTTATATGTTGATGATTGACCGAGTGACCAAGTAGCATGACCAGTTTACATTTTCTTAAACAAATATACATGTATATACAAGTCACACATAAAATACCGGAAATACCACTTTCAACACAATACTTAAAACCATATTTTTGTTTATTCGCATAATGAAGGACGAAGTGAGATAATTGAAATTCATGTTATTTCATATAAACAGTTCTCCATGACAACGGTTTGATAATTATCAAGTAAAACCCGCTTTACGGCTCATTTCTTTAAGTATTTTAATTCCTTCAAATCCTCTCTCAGATTTTTCAAGTTCTTCATTTTGAATAAGCAAGTCAAGATATTCAGAAAATGACCTGCATAAAAGAGCTTTCTCTTTTAATCTATCTTGGGCTGATTTTAATATAGAAATACACCTTTCAATTTCTTCTGATTGTGTTTTTATTTTATGTCCTAAATGTTCAATATTTCTCTCGTTCGCCGAGATCCTTTCAAGAGTTTCAGCGTTGATATTGCTTTGGACCATGTTTCCATTATCGATTGTTTGACTGTTATCAACAACTGACCTATCTTTGTCTAATTCCTTTTGAACTTCCTCTGAATTGCTTTTACATTCCATTAAAACGTTTATATGGCACAAAACAAATTTAGAAGTTTCTCGTAAACTTAACTGATGCCGAAGAACCATTTTTGTCATATGTAAACTTTTGGCCTCAATCGTCTCTATATGACTAAAGAAAGAATGTAAACTTTTAATTCCCATCTGCCAAAACATCTTTTTCATTCTACAATTACTTGTTGCGGCTGTTTTACAACACAAACTAGCATTGTTAAATGAAAACATTGGCCCAAATGGAAACTTATATTCCTTAAGTGTGTCTATGACAGAAGGCTCTGTGCAATCTGAAAATGTCATAAACGAACATATATGGTGTCCAATGTCTTTTCCGAATAATGTCAGGACTGACTGGAAAATGTAGGTTTGAAAAGATGTAAGGCGACATTCATGGGCTTTGATTACAAAGCATACCACATCAATCAATGCCAGACCGTATGGCTGCTTATCGGAAAGTATCTCCCGTAACTGGTCAACAATTTCTTGGTCTCTCTTATAGCCACGTGTATTTCCGAATCCTGGAGTATCTATAATATTAAGCTGATAGCATAACCGGCTTCCATTTATGTTATTTATCGTGTAACAGGTGATCCATTCTGTGAGAGAGGCTGCCTGTTATATGAAAATCAAAGAGATATTTACAAAGTGAATTACCTACACAATGACGGAAAGCAAATATGTAAGCAATGAGAATAATATATAAGTATTGATAAAAGTACAGGGACATGTGTGACATTTTAAAGCTTTTAAAAGATTAACATCATTCAAAGCCAGATGGTATTCTATTATAAGCAAAAAGCATGCATAACTGTTATGTTAAGATTTATATGATTTACTTTATTATGTATTTTAATTTCTTACACTGAAACAGCCTCTGTCTTTGCTTTTGTTATTTAAATCTGTTACTTTAAATCTGAACGGATCATTCCAGTTGACACCGAGTATGTAATTGACAATCAAATCGATCATAGTACTTTTCCCACTGCCAGTTCCACCAAGAATCAAAATGGTTTTGGTCTTTTTAGAGGTTTGCTGCGTTGTTTCGGTTGATCCTTAATAAATAGATATACATAGCGGATAGTTCTATTATGTTTGGGTTATTCTGACATGTATGCATTTGTGCGTACAATTAATTACTAGTAAATAATTCGAAAATGAAGATAATGTATTACATATTCAAACAATTTAATATGCTTAAATAGTTTACAAAGCAATTTACAAGTACGGATATACATTAAAACTTCATGTTATGTTTTTTTCGAGAACATGGATTATTTTGTGTTTTCAGTTTAACTGAAAACTTATGAAACCGTTAAACGTTTAAAAACTTGAAATTCTACTATTCAAAAAGTATTGAATTAATAGACTTACCAAACTCAAGTTTGCTTATTTTTAACGTTTCGTGTCGCATAATTTCATTCATTGGTAAACCATATACTGGCGATGAGAAATTGCCCTTGACCAATGATACTGATTGCTGGGAGACTTGACAGGCCGACGACAAAGACGTCTTGATTTCGTTACTTTCTTCACTAAACGGCCCTTCTCTGTCCTCGTATAGCACGCGAACACGAAACACAAATACTGTATTTGCCCGCAAGTCATTCAGTTCAGCGGTTGCATCTTGAAAGACTTCATCATAAAGAGCCCATTTCCCGTCGTGTTCCAACTCTTTGTAACTTATCTGGTAATAGTAGCCATCTTTTATGTCTGACGGAGGATCCCATGTCAGTGAAACAACTTCCAAAATATCATTCAACCTTCTTGGTTTGCCAGGTCTATCCTGAAATTCAATTTCATTTAAAATTGTTAAAATTGGAAACGAATGTGCATCTAGGATGAGTTTTGTGATACCACAAAAGGAAAATTCAGTAAAATATATTGCGATAATTGACAGCCTTAGTTTCAATAAAGTAACATCATGTTTTTTGCAATATAAGTGTATCGATATGTTTAATTCATGTATTACTATATAAATAAAGACAGGATAATGTGGGACGGTCATCAATTAGTGTAATACATATTCGCGTGTTGTCTGATCCAATATGGTAATTTGATTTTTTTTCGGGTTTTTTTTAAGTAAAAGTAAAATCAAGAACAAAATTAAAAGTAGTATTTTCAAGCTAACCTCTTTGCTCCTCATAGTGTCTGTGTCATTATTATCACCACACGTCATCATAGTGCTTCTGATATCCACGTCACTTTGTTTAACTTCATCTATATCTAGTAGTGAATGGTCCTTTGACAGTTTGAAACGTTTGTGAATTTTGCAACAGTTTACACACAAATAATCTTTGCAATCCGAGCATAATTTCACAGCCTTTTCAAAAACACCCTCTTCCTTACACTGACCACACCATACGTTATCTTGTTTAAAGACCTCACTTATATCGTTAATTTGATGGCCCTTCATCATTTTCATCGATGTATGCTCCTCTGCACATTTATCACAGAGATGTTCTTCACACTGAGCACAAACACGTGTGGCGTTAACTGACATACCATCCCCGCTGCAAGGTTCGCAACATGGGAAACGGGGCGATATTTCAGAAGAGAGACTTTTGAGTTTGTGTTCCTTTGTGGCCTTTAGCGCTCTATGGTAACGTGTACATATATCACACAAATGTTCCTCGCACTGTGCACAAAAAGTTTCCGCAGTTTTAACCTCTTCATTTTGCTTACACGGATCACAAACTGATATTTCCTTTCGTGCTTTGCTGTCGGACATAACAAGTTTATGATGTTTGAAAACATTCTTGTTGCTATGCTTTTGTGCACAACGTGAACACAATGTTTCCTCACAATCATTGCAGTACATGCATGAACCCTGATCTGTTTTATTCTCACAAAGTCCACATTCGACCATAACTGGTATACTTTCAAGACTTTTAACTTCATGCGATTTTGTGAGTTTTCTTGTTCTATGTTGATTAGTACAGTAAGCACAAAGACGTTCTTCACATTCAAGACAAAGAGAGGTTGCGACTTCTTGCTTTTCTAAGACCAGGCACGGATCACAAAGACTTTGATCCGATTTGTTTTCATTGTTTCCATAGAAACTGCACGGTGCTTTTGATGATACGGATGCATTCTTTGTTGAATTATTTTCACATGAGACATGCTGTGGTAAGCCTATATCTGTCTTTTCCATCATAAAAATTGTTTTCAGTAAAAACAAATTTTAGCAAGCATTTTTTATAGTTTACTATGAAATTGAATACAACTTAACAGCTTTTGTATACTTTTTGTTCGTGGAGAAAGCAGGAAGCATTAGATTCCAAACAAATTTTCTAATTCCGTTTAGAAAAACTGATACTTTTCTTTGCAACTGTAACGGAGTCGTTCTATAAACGATAACAGTCGCATGAAGAGACATTTACCTATGTCTATAGCAGTCATTTTAGAATACCCCGTATTACTTCATTTGTGGAAGCCAAATTTATTCCTGAAATAGAAATTTATTTATATATAAATTAATATATAAAAGGCGTATATAAATCAATATATAAAGACAAGGTTGTCAATACTTTGGTGTAAAAGTAGATTATACTAGAGTTTAAGAGTTCAATTGATAATGTACTAATGCACAGAGTTTCATATTGAATTTATTGTCGGATTAAAACATCGTTTTATCTTGAAACAAAGTGCCATAGATAATTAGTTGATACGAAGAGCTCTTCCTATTCAGAACACCTCGTCAATTATTCATAATCGTCCATATCCGAAGTCTGACGGGAAAGGCTGAAAAGTTGCGGATTTCTCCCCGAGTGTTTTACACCCTTTCCGTCAATTTCCGGATAAATTCGATTGTGAATAGATGGCGGTGTTCCGAATGCGTGAACTATTTAAGAATTTAAGAATGACGGCCAAAATATAGATTGGTTTTCAGTTAATAAGAAAAACGTTATAGTGGTGTTATTGTCCGCAGTAAAAGTGTGAGCATGTACATAAACTGAAAACAAAATCGTTTAGATTTTCTAAATCAACTTTTATAATATTTAGGATATGTGTATTGTCACATAGATTTATCAAATTTAAATTAAAAATGAGGTCAAAACTATGAATGTACATCTGCATTACAAATGAATGCACTTGTCATTTATATATGTGAGATATAAACGGGTTAAAACCAATAATTTTACCTGGCAAACATGTCGTAACATCTTAAATATCAGTTCTGATATCCCACAAGTCCTTGAATATATCCTGTCAGTAACTTATTAAATCAGTAGCTACACAAATTACAATGAACCTTGGTCTCGTCACTATTAAATGGAATTTCATACCGATTTAAACTTCCCATTTAGAAACGTAATTGTTAGTGCCCATAGAAGTGCCCATTTTTAATAATTATAATATTATGTAAACACAGTTCAACGTCATATTTAAAAACGAAAGTAGATTGATTATATATGCACTTTGGTAAGTCTGGAGTTCCTTCCCCTTCCATAGTAAATGTAGGCAGAGAATCAGACGACACTTTGGTTGGACTTGTTTTTTAATACAGGACATGTTAATGTTATGAAATGCATCTTATATGTGTGTTATAAAACTTGTAATATCACACAAGTGTTTACAAAGTATAATATTAATATTTCTTTCTACATAAACACACAGGTAAACGTTGCGTGGCCATGACTTATACTATACCCCCGTTCCCCCTATACAACCCAAAACCCTAAAAAAAAATTATGAAAAAAAAAATTTTTTTTATGACTAAAATATTATAAAGGTATTTTACTCTACTTTCATTTTGCATAGAAATATCACTAGCATCTCAATTATCAGCGCATATATTCATCAATTTTTCACCAATCTTAATAATCTTGGTCTCAAATCTTAGATAAATAAATACTCTTTAAGAAAACAACACTGGCACCTTCGCTGATTATACGTAGCAAGAAATATCCAAGCCCAAACTGTCAACAAATGAAACTCGGAAGAGATCTGATTGCACCGTTTCGGTAAAACTCTCACGAGTAAAACACACTAAATTCACCGTGAAAGAATATTTCTTTGTATTGCGTATTTAAATATGATAAAATTAAGTTATTATTTATAATAATTGTTCAATCAAAGCATCTTATGAAACTATAACGCACCTTTTTGCCTATATGTCAAATTCTCATTCCAAAATGAAAGTAACATGGGCCTGCAGATTGTTTTCAAATGGAGTATTTTCATTGGTCACAGGAAAACCTCGGACCAATGAAAATACTTAAAGGGAAACAACTCTGCTGTGCCAATTTACTTTCATTTTGGATTGAGAATTTGACATATAGGAAAAAAGGTGCGTTATAGTTTCATATGATGCTTTGATTGAACAATTATTACAAATAATAACTTAATTTTATCATATTTAAATACGCAATACAAAGAAATATTCTTTCACGGTGAATTTAGTGTGTTTTACTCGTGAGAGTTTTACCGAAACGGTGCAATCAGATCTCTTCCGAGTTTCATTTGTTGACAGTTTGGGCTTGGATATTTCTTGCTACGTATAATCAGCGAAGGTGCCAGTGTTGTGTTTTCTTAAAGAGTATTTATTTATCTAAGATTTGAGACCAAGATTATTAAGATTGGTGAAAAATTAATGAATATATGCGCTGATAATTGAGATGCTAGTGATATTTCTATGCAAAATGAAAGTAGAGTAAAATACCTTTATAATATTTTAGTCATAAAAAAAATATTTTTTTTCATAATTTTTTTTTAGGGTTTTGGGTTGTAGAGGGGGAACGGGGGTATAGTGTAAGTCATGGCCACGCAACGTTTACCTGTGCATAAACAAGTTCGCGCTTAGCTTGACTTTGAACCACAATCGCAACTTTTCGGCCCTTTCCGTCAGTCTTCGGATAAGGACCTCGAACACAATAGTATGAATACACAGAACGGATGCGGTATTTCGGTCTAACTTACGCTAAGAAACTTAACATGCAAACAAATAGTAATTTAATGCTTAGAGTTGGTGACAAGTTTATTTCCAATATATGTGGTAAAAGTCATAGATACAAAAACAAACGATACATTATTTCTATATTTATTATTATGGTTGTAGAAACCGAAAGTACACAAAACCAAACTGTTAACATTTAGTCGGATTTGTTTAAGATCATCAGTTCACAGATACTTGGGGTTTGGAGCTCAAAACGCCTTTAAAATCCAAATAAAATGCATATTTGTCAATCCCAGGACATGTACTGATCATATATATCAAAAAATCTTAATATATGCCGTTTTGAAAAAAAAATCATATTTCAACAACTATAATAATACACAAGATAAAAATGTTCGCCGGAAAAAATCCGCACCCCTACCTTCATAATCACCATGTATTTTATTCCATTTCCAATATTTTCACATAATCCTTTGGTCCATCGACACAGAAGATATAATTCTTCACGATGATGGTCAATTTTAAACTTCAACGGTAATATAAACAACGCAACAGCCGAAATAAACATCAATATTATCGCCGTTTTTTTTCAACGACAAAATCTTTCGATAAATTCAATGGACCAGACGGCTATGAACGAAGCTATCCGATTATGTGGTTCCCAAACTTAAAAGCGCTGCGCATTTTGCACACGGCAAAGCTGGGGCCACATAATCGGATAGCTTCGTTCATAGCCGTCTGGTCCATTGAATTTATCGAAAGATTTTGTCGTTGAAAACAAACGGCGATAATATTGATGTTTATTTCGGCTGTTGCGTTGTTTATATTACCGTTGAAGTTTAAAATTGACCATCATCGTGAAGAATTATATCTTCTGTGTCGATGGACCAAAGGATTATGTGAAAATATTGGAAATGGAATAAAATACATGGTGATTATGAAGGTAGGGGTGCGGATTTTTTCCGGCGAACATTTTTATCTTGTGTATTATTATAGTTGTTGAAATATGATTTTTTTTTCAAAACGGCATATATTAAGATTTTTTGATATATATGATCAGTACATGTCCTGGGATTGACAAATATGCATTTTATTTGGATTTTAAAGGCGTTTTGAGCTCCAAACCCCAAGTATCTGTGCATCAGTTGGCATATTTAAATTACATTTTCAATCATAAGTGTACCGAAACAGACATTAATTTTCTTTTGGATGTCAAATATTCGTTTAACATTATCTCTGTCTCTGTTTACATCTGAAACCACGTGCTAAAACTACTTTCAATCCGTATTGTTTCCGAGGTTATTATAGATAATAGCCGAGAACGTTCCATTCAAATTTTATCTCCGTAATATGATAACGGAATTAAATGCATTTCATTGGTGTTAAAAAACTGTTTCGGTTCATTAATTTACCCTTTATCTATGATTTCTGTACGTAGACTAATAATATATGTCATATGTTGCGGTTCGGATCGGAATATCCGTCCTGAGGAGACGAGCGGTGTACACAATGCGGGTTCCCGAGGGACGGATATTCCGACACATGTCAGATTTTTTTCTTGCATATTCTACCATATTCCATTATGTTTTAAATTCTTTACTTTAATAAAACAATTTTCCATGAAAATTTAGGTCATTACACCCGTAACTACTTTCTTACAACAGTGTATGAAATTATAACTTCATTCATAACTGTAAAATTACGTCATTCTAAGCATGCCATTGTATAGCACGCAACTCATCTGGCAACCCAATGCCAGATGAACTTTTGGAACTGATTTATGTCTAGTTTAAATGTTTTATGCGAGTAGTACCATGTATATTACTTGCATTGTCATAAATAACATGCTAGTGGCCACAAAGCCGCCTCCGTGGTCGAGGGGTTAGAGTCGATGACTTCTAATCCAGTTACCTCTCTGGTGTGGGTTCGATCCCCGGGAGATGATTTGGTAGTTTAGCGCGGAGGAAGGTAGTCTAGTACTGGTGTAACTCTCCAGGAACGATGGTTAGGAAACTAACCGCCTAAATGACTGAAATACTGTTCGGAAAAAAGCGTAAAATGAAACAAACAAACAAACAAACAAAAGTGGCCACTAAATCTACCTATGCGATCATTGTTGACCAAGATCAGCTGACACACCCGTGTAGTCTCGTGCAGTCTAGTGCCGGATAATCAAAGTCTGCACTGTTCGCTATTCAATGTGTGTTTTCTTTGTTATATTCCCTAAAAAAGGACTAGTGGTTTTGTCTAAATTGAAAAATGGACAAGTGCGTTCATGAAATTCAGGTGGCTAATGGCCGTCAAATGAAAGTCAAAATAACGATTCAGTTGTAATTCATCACAATATTCTGTATAAATGATGACCAACTTACAGAGATCTTTGGCATATTAACATATTTTAATTTGTCCTGTAATCTGATGTTTTTAAAGGAACTCCACTGCTCAAGGTCCACAAGCCTAAAAACATGAAGTTTGAATTTCTTACATAGATCGGCTGAGGCACTTTAAACAAAAAGATATGTAACGATAAATTAATTCAAAAATGTTCTCAGAAATTAAAGGAAAATCATATGTTTGTGCTATTTTTTAGCCAAATATGAGTGAAAAGCGTTGCAACGCTTTTCAATGAATTTTAAATAGTCATTTTTTGCTAAACAATACATATAATTATTCTGGAAAAAACGGAGAAAGCGAATGATAAAAATTGCACACAAGTTACTGGTCTAGACCTACACCAAATAGAATATTAATCTCGAAAAGTTATTGCTAGTCCCGTTATCTAAAAAAAACTCAGTGGAGTCCCTTTAAGATATTCAATTACCAATTACTATTTCAAAATGAAAGTATCAGTTCAATGAACGTAATAAAACCGAGTTTCCAGATATGTTTTTAAAAAAATATGTATTTTGTTTTCATTTTAAGAATTGAACGTTAAAGATTCATTCTCAATGATATTTAAAAATATAACCTCCGTTGGTTACATGGAATATTTAAACAAAAAGATTCATATAAAAATGAAAACTGAACACGATTATGAAAAAAAAACGTCAAATTATTTTATTCTTTTATCTGTTCACCTAACTCTTTAGTTTATATAAATTTGATTTGGCTTAAGAAGCTATAAGCTTTTTGTACCCTCGAATACGTTCCTGGAACCAACTACATGTAGTACTAAGCAACAGATGTAAAGTTTCTTGCTCAAGGAAACAACGCCTTGCCTCTGACAGGGTTTGAACCCACGCGGTCAGTAATCCTTAAATCCGCGCAGTCTGATCAGGATCCATGCTGTTTCGCTTTACAAAACTCTATAACAAGCAGAGAAACTGATAGCAAACAGCATGGATCCTGATCAGACTGCACGGGATGCGCAGGCTGGTCTGGATTCCATGCTGGTCGCAAACCCATTATGTTGGTTTGGCCGTGACGCGGCGGCAAATTACTAGTCTGACGCGTTAACCAATGCTTTTCATAGAGA